TGATTGAAGTCAATACCTCGCCACAGTTCAGGTATCAAACCTGAGATTTGATCTCTGGTTCATACAGCTCAGGGTAACCACGTCATGGGCATTAATCCATTGACCTATCAGGGTATCGGTGAACTTCACAGATAAGATCCTCTATCTTATATAGACGATCTTATGTATGATCCTCTACATAAGAGAGCTACCTATCATATATAGAGGATCGAACATAAGAGACAAATTTTCTCCAATTTTTGTGAACTATAATTCATAAGCAATCGAGTCATATTTAAAAATTGTGTGTTGAATTTAAATGATATTGAGCGAGGTGTCATTACATTGAGAACCATTATACTAAAATAAACTTTTATGAAAGGTGCTTTATTTTTTGACTTGACTTGGGATTATTGCCTTTGATATCAATGTGCTGGATAGCAGTACGCTACAGCCCAGTAGCCTTCTACTGGCATAAAATGCCTAAACAATCATTGCAATAAAATATCCCAAATGCAGACATTGAATAGATTCACTTACATGAACATTTTGACAAATAGTGATAGAATCGCTAATAATAATAATCCTTGCATTTGATATAGCACTTTTCACGTCGGGAGGACGTCCCAAAGCGCTTCACAGAACACACTGTAAAGTGAATTGACTGTAAGAATGGAAAGAGAGAGAGCCTTTCCCCAGAGGGATTTACTTCAACCCTTTGCAACTGAAAGAGAAAGAAACTAAGATTTCCAAGAGGTCTGTCCGGTGTATTTGGTGACAGTGGTCAGACTGGGATGAATAGGGTGAATTATCTATTTTGGCTAATGTTTGTGTAAACTGCGTGCTGTTGTTGATTGGCATCATTGCAAGCAGCCACAATAGTTACAACCTATAGGCACAAGGATGTAATGGTGGGGGCCATCTCCTCCAGTCGCTTCTCTACAAGCTCAGCTGAGATATTGTGGTCAGTTACTGGGAAGATAAACCAAAGGGCAACAATTACAATAATAATGTGATCTATACTGTACACTGGTGTGACTGCAGGCTTGTGTGTTGTGGTGTCAGCTATGTTGATTTGACAGGGATAAAACGAGTGTCTTTGGGATTTGTGTTTATTCTGCACCAACAAGCTACCTTAGAAGGGCTACCATCAGCCTAAAAGACGACACATCTACATTTTATGAATGGGTTTTCAAAACTGGCATAACATAAAAATTGTCTCTAGGTTTTACCATCCAAAGCATTGTTTGGACTGCAAACTCTCAAGTAGGCTGGTATAGTTAAGGTTATTGTACAAAAGACGATGGATTATGAGTTAATGTCACAGGAGTAAAAAAAATGCGCTCATGATTTATGATGTGCTTTGTAAACAACCTCCAGAACTAGCCACCGATTTCGCAATGCTTTATTTATTACGTGGTTGCTGTCTTTAAAAGATGTGGGTCATTAAGTGAGAATGAACTGCGGTTAGATATTGTTCTTAGATGCAATGCTGTTACGCATCACTTTCCTGGGCAATGGGCACATTACTAACACCTCAGATAATAAACAGAGGAAACTGCATTAGGAGGTTTCTGAGTTTTTCATGAGCACGACAAAAGTGAATGATTTTTCAGTGCAATTTTGCATTCATTATACACCAATTAGAGTTTCAAAGTGTGGATAAGTAGTGGATAAAATAAAACAATTTTCAAGTTGCGAATACTGAAAATTATATTGAACTATTTTACATTTGTGCAATAAGCCAACGTTGGTGCTTTTGGTTCTACTATGATGAGGCTTCAAAACCTGTTGTGCTATTGGTCTCACGCATTCCTGTGACTTCATTGGAGACACGTGTAGGGAACAATGAATTATAGTTTCATACACATGGATGAATTTTATTAGTAGTACTGTAACATATCAGTAACAGCTTGACTGAGTAACTATATTTTACTAACTATAATACAGAGTAAACAGACATTAGGAAAATACAAACAATATATGGGTAAGTGCCCATTTCTGCAGTAACAATAAAATATGAAATCTAGGGTTAATGTTTCTATAGAAAATGCTAGTGGAGAGTTTAATCGTTGATGGCAAAACAAAAATGGCTCTGGAGAACCTTTTCTCTGTTTGGAGAACAGTGAAATCAATTATAATAGGAGAATGAGTGTGTTCAAAAAGAAAGAAAACAGAACACTTTGTAAATACTTCAGACTACTGCTTGTATGCAGTACTGTATGCGATTGATCTTAATCTCTGCATGTGACATTTCTCCTGCATCGCTTTTAAATGATACGACATTCAATGTAAAACTTTAAAGAACGGTTAACAATAATCATTCATAAATCATTTCAAATGCTGTAAGCATTTCAATTTTCACCTTACAGCAGATTGGCCATTTCTTATTTTCTTATCCACTTTCCCACCCTAATATATAGATTCTTGTCTGCTGCAGACCTGAGGGTGATGGAGCCCAGACATGCTCCATCTGTCTGCAGCTGGTGCCACTTGGTCCAGAAGACTTTGGACTACTGCCCTCAGTCACTTAAAGACACATCAGTACCTGCAATTTCTCCACTACTTAGCTTCTACTTAAGTATTTTACTACCACCTCTACAGAGTTTCATACAGACTAGGGCCTGTTCTGGCCAAACATATATCAATCAGGCTCTGGGAAAAAAACGTACAAATATGCAATAGCATTAAAAAGATTCAAAATAGCTTCTTAGAAACTATCCACCTTATTACTAAATTTGGATGGGGCTAAAATAACCGCAACCACTTTCCCACGTTGTGTTCAAGTCTTAACATTCTTAGAAATCTGCTTGCAATAGAATCAAAATATTTACCAGCGACAACAGGAAAAATGTTGGTGTCAATGAAATATTAGTGCCTGTAAATCAATACCCGAAGAGTCACCATTTTAGGATATTATAAGGAAAGATGTGCTTTTTCTGCTAACTGCCATTCTCCTGGCTCTGTGCGCAATGATGTGTTGTCACCACGTACTCACTTCACAGTTTCGTTAGTGGGGGAAGTGTGGCCACAATAGATATTTTTTATTAATCGGTAGCAAACAGTATAGGATTCTTGCTAAATCTATGGGCCAAGTCAGCACAGTACCAAGTTACATGTTAATAATTGATACCTTTGTGTACATTTTGAGAACAGTCCTAACTTATGGGCTTAGTGAAAACATACCCCACCCCCCGCTAAGATATAAATGACTTCATAAATGTGTATGTCCTACTTTACTTTCAAAGTAGTACCATACCTATCACTGGAAATGTATTATTTATCTTAGGACGTGACCGGATATCATTTATTCAGTACAAAAGCTATCAAAATTTATGGAGGTTACATTACAGTTTGCTTTGTGAGAAAACCCTCCAGAAAAATAGTACATAGGTCATAAAAAGAATGTTTTGAATCCAAACGAAATGTAACACAAGCTTAAAACAAACATTGGTATAAACTAAGAATGCATATATTTTTAACATGATAATAATGGATTTCAATCTCTTCTTCATCCCCTTTGTGGCCTCCTGGGTTGTGAACCCTGGTTGTGAAGAGGAAAAGGCAGGGGATCATGGACATCTCAATAGTCACTCGTGATATTGAACCATGGACAGGAAGGGTTGGTGTTGCTAGGGGACTGCTGATGTGTGACCCAAGATCCATTCAAATAGTTCTTAAATTTTCTTCCTCCTCCTCTCTGAAAACATTCTCCCTCCCCCAACCTTTTGGTGTTGCATCCAGCTAAGATCAAAACATGGTAAAATTATCTAACTAAGGAATTATCATAACTAAGGAAAATATAATTAGTAAGGTACGGTCTATATATATATATATTTAGTAAATGTACTGATTTATCACACTGAAAAAGTACACAGTTGTCCTCTGTTGTAACTATGTAGCAGCTTTCAATGGAAATATTCAGAATTATTTCAAACTATAACATGCAGCACATCCAATGAGCTCTATGCTAACTCCAAATCCAGTTTCCGCCTGGTCAAGGGCATCTCTTTTCATTATAGAGAAAACTACGCCAAAACAAATATTATTTTTGAATCTTTGATTATCTTTCATTCTCAAAATGGTCTGAAACAGCATGTGTGGGTATTAGATGATGCAGAAACAGCTGTCGTGCCTGACTGCACAGTGTCTCAATGTCAGCAGTTCAAAGCACTGGAAGACTGAAGGGGAGGAAATCTGATAGGTCACTGGAACCCAATTCCAGGGCTGAAGGACATTGCTTTCTTTCAACAATTGGACTAACAACATCACCATTAACTCCTCTACCACCTTGCAGTTTCACGCAAGAGTTAAGCATTTCATCTTGGGTGATCATCATGCCAAATAATGTACAATGTTAAACAAAATCAGCAATAATGGTTGAAGAGGGCACGCTGGAAGTACACCTAAGTGGCAGTGCAGATTTGCCTCTCTTTTTAAATAGAACCCCAAGAGGTTCTCGTGTCATAGCACCCTTCATTAGTGCTCACTCCAGTCTGCAGCCTGGGCATCATTAGCAATATCAGAAATCAGTGGGTAAAGAAGGGCCATTCTTCATCTTACTGACTGCAGCAAGTTCCTCTCTTGGTACGTGTAGCTGCTGAAAACAACCCCCGTTGCATACAAAAGAAACTAGCTTGTGACGCAGTTTGTCTGCAAATACGCAACATAAATCAGTTTGCAAATTTCTGCTGAGCTACTCTATGTTCTAGTTGTAGGTTAAAACTGAAATAATTGAGAGTAAAGCTACCCGCTGTGAGTATATTCCGGTTTGTAATGTAATTCCACTAAACTCTACTGCCCTCTATTGGAAGAGCAAGACTTACAGAACCCATACCATTCTTAACGTGTGGGGACACACTTCAGCACAAGAGAATGTGGACTGAAATGAGACTGAAAAGCAAATGACATGTTTATAAGTCAAACTTGTCTTTTATTCGAGAAACTATCTTAACAAGTTATCAGTTGAATTAGAGTAAGGTATGTGAAACACGTTTCACAAGAAACTAAAATCTCAATATCAAATGGTCTGCATTACAAGTGAAAACATTGAAGATTTCTATTTTAACAACAAAGGGAAAAAGAACTTACAAAACATTACATAATAAACAAATGCAACCCAAAGCACACAATGTGATTACATAAATGCCTTTAACTGTTGCTTAATTATCTTATCTTAATAGTTTACATAAACTCAGTTTTAATTGTGTAAATTCAGTATTTCTATGCTTACCTGTCTGAGTGCTACTTAATTTCTTTGTGTGGCAAAATAGTGAATGTCTTTAATTGTTTGGGACACATATGTTACATTGTGTAATTGGCCTCAGGATACGAGCATTTTTAAACATTACCCACTATCTTATGTACCTTGATTTCTACGGATAGGAATATTCTATTTCCATTACAATGTAGTTTCTGATAGTTGAACTTGCTTGTTATCCCAAGGCATATGCCACAATGAATATCCTATAGTACCATATTAAAAATAAAATGGAATGTAAAATCTTTTGCGTTCCCATAACTGGTAGTGTTAAACTCAGATTTGTGTGGGCACAGAAACAAGTTTCTATTCCTTATATGTGTTCCTGCAATGAAGTAGCCAAACAAAAAAAGTCTCATCCATTAATATGATTTAAAACATTTTCACTTTCGGTCTCTGTAACAGCTTGAACTTTTGCTGTTTCAAATGTGTGGCAGGGAGTAACTCATCTGTTCTCCCTTTATTTTGATGGTAAGTTAAGTTGTTAAAGGAAGAGCTGCAAGCTGGTGAAAAATTGTGGTAGCTTGTGACCTTTAATTGATTATTCTGTGATTAATCACATTTGACATAATATGTGGTTATGCAACAATAGAAGCTTTGCTTTATTTTCCCAAACTACACTGCCCAGTTTTTAATCTTTCCATTTTATTTCTGTTCAGAATGTACTAATTATATCACATCCTTGCATGTGTCCTCAGTGACTAACAATGGGAGCAAATGGGAGCATGAAAAGGCCCCTGGGCAGGATAAATGCTGTTGCTCAAACATTGTCTTCAGTGGGAAAAGAAAGTTGCAACGAGAGCTCTCTCTCTCGTTTTCTGTGACCCAAACGTTGAACCAATAAAATAATTCCCATGGAAAAAAAACAATCTTAACCCGAAATACACCATTTATTTACCCAACTTAACATTTGAAAGCATTGGTCTTTAAAATGTTACTCCAAGATGTAGCTCATATCAGTGATCCATCTCCCACAATGATAACTTGCTAACTAAACAAGTAGTCTCTCTATATTGCATTTGTTACATTTTATACCCGAAAGAAATAAGTTTATATTAAATGAAAACTGAAGGGCAATAATCAAATTGTAACAATGATTAAACCATCTCTGGAGCAAAAAAAATAAAGAATGAATGATTTTGTGACCGTTTTGTCAAAAGTGTTTATGAAAAGAAATATTTCAACAGCTCAAACATCAAAGAGAGCAGGCCACGCATTTGACAGTAATTTGGCTGAGGTACAGTTTTCCAAGCTGGACAAATTCAATGCAGTGCAGGAATAAGGAGGTGTGTGCTGAAGCCTCAGGATTTCATTTTGCTTCCAGTAACACGCAAGCTCCAGACTGTTGGCTGTCCCCTCTGTGAGCCAGATGCTTCCTTACAGGGGCAGTTGCACCTAACATTTGCCATGCCCCTCCCACTCCCTTAGCCTTGCTTTAATGGCCATTAAAAATAGAACAAAAAGGCTGTAGATGGGAACAAAATACATACACAACAGGCACAGTCCTCTGTAGTCATTCTTCTGTAAAATGTAAAAAACAAGAAAGGCTATACATGCAGTGTCCCTCAGGATGCATACAGCCTTTTTAATATAGTAGTGGTGCCACCACATATCTGACTCTCAAGTTTCCTTTATCTTTTTAAGTCACTCAAATATTTACAAATTCCCTAAATAATAGTGGATGTGTTAAGAGCTTGTTTTATTCCGAGTATCATCAGCAGGCACTCTAGCTGTGTGGCAGGATTGGACAAAGTCCCTGAAATGTTTCTCGTCTCTCTTTCAGGAGCTTCTCATGTGTAAGTAGCCATTGTTTGAGGTGATTTCCTTTTCCTCCCATATAATTACCAATCTGTCCATCGTTGCAGATCACTCGGTGGCAGGGCACAATAATTGGCACCTGAGATTAATGGAAAAGAAAATTCATTACACATCTGTTAAATTTTTACTTATAAAAATTCACTTTCAAGCTATTGTAAACAGTGTTCGTCAATTATGCAGAGTCGCAATAAAAATAAAGTCTGCAGAGTAGATATTTGGGAATGTGTTATAAGGCTAGTTTCGCATGACATCCTAAAATGTGATAAAGCAATGAGAGCAGTTTATAATAGTTATCTGTACATGAAAAATAGATTTCAACCTTGAACTCATTCGGTCTTTTTTTAAAAAAAAGGTGTTTTTAGTTCCACCTTTGAGATGTATTTATACTGGTAGCAGCTGACAGCACAGATTAAGTCTTGAAACATGCTGATGTTCACAAAAGGTTTTAGTGATTTGGGATCCACTGTTGATTGCCAACATTTGTCATAATCAGTATATATTATTTATTCACTTATCAGGAATTGTAACTTTGCAGTAAATCACACTGAAACACTGTACAGTGTTAGTAAATATATTGCAATCAGTTTTATCCTCTGTGATTATAAGCTTCACAAAATATACAAGTGTGACTGTAATCCATATATATAGAAATACAGAAAGTGGTGAAGTCAAATATATTTATAGATAGCAGGTCAGGATGATGCTTACAGCCAGATATGAACATAGCACAATGGTTTTACCTTACACTAAGTTTATAAATAACAAGTCACAGTTAAATGCTCTTGTGTTCAAAATAAGTGGAAAATATTAACTGTATACGACTTAATTTTTCAACCGCTCTGGATTTGCTTATATTAAAACTGCTTGTCAACAGCAGCCCAACGCAGTCAAATTGGATATTATTGCTGTGCTAATTCTCAAAATCTACAAAGTATTATGCTGAAACACTGAAAACAATATTTACACTTCCCATTTTAAAGGGAAAAAAAACTAACTTCAATTTAAAACGGCTTTAGTCCCGTGACAGAGAAAGAAATAGTGCAAGAATCTTGATACTATTTGTTTTGCAGTGCTGGACAATGTAATCAGGCCACGAGCATTGGGGGTGAAATCTGTGTTTCAGCGTGTGTTAATTATGCTACAATTTCAAACTAGCATTAAAACAGCAGCATTGCAACATACTAATCATGCAGGTACAAGCTAATTCTAAGGTCTGTTGGTATATACAGATGTGGTCCTCTAAAATTTAAAAATACCTGTGATTTAAATAACAATTTGATTCTAGAAAGGAACAAACAGCATTACTAGATAAACAAACAATTGGATGCCTCTATATATGAAGTACAGTTTTATTTTTTCCATTTCAATACAAGGGTTACAGCTGATAGCTGTTTGTGTTTCTCATCTAACACAGACGACTTCTCTCTTTAATCACCCTCCCCCACCACCACCACTAGCTCCTAGGCGTAGTTCCATTTTATGCGCTCTACAGAGCTACAGCATACATCTCCTATGCTCTGCAAATTGGATTTCTAGAATGGAAGGGTAAGACTGAATGAAATTGGCTGATATTGGTACCTGCAATACAGGTGTAATATTAGTACTTGAAATTGAACTTTCCCTATATTCAAAGACACCTTCTACTTTGGTTAAGGGGTGATTTCTGTCACTTTCTACTGTTTGAAACAGATGATAGGTGCTGGCATAGGAATCTGCTGTCCACATTCTTAATATTTTCAGAAAACCTTTTGTTTAGAATAAAGACGATTATCAGAGCTAACAAATGGCGGTAAACATATCCAACACCTACACAACCATGGCTTCCCCCAGTAGCTCTCTTTTAACCCTACTTACTCAGTCTATAGTACAATGATGACCAGTTGAAGAAATGTAGGGTAAAATAATGTTTTAAAATAAAACTACACACATACATTCATTCACATATACAGCAGGACATATAACATTTTTCTCTACCACTTCAAACTTGTTTTCTCAAATTGCACTGGTTCTGTGAACAAGAATGTGCATTTACAACAACAACAACTTGCATTTATATACCGGCCTTCATGCAGGGTTGCATCCCGGATCACTTATTTGTATAAAACTGTTCAAATATTTTTAAAAAACTCAACTATAAGGCACAGTGGATACTGAGCAAGAAGTGGGAGAAATGCAGAGGTAACTCAAGGTATGATAAAAGTGATATTTTTAGAAGACTTGTTTGATAGTATAGAGAGAGGCAGCAAAGCAATTTTGTAAAGAGTTCCAAGGGGCAGAAGTGTGGTGGTTGAAGGTTCAGGCTATATTGTTAAGGCAGAAACCTGAAGATCACAGCAATAGGGCGGCCATAGAGGAAGTTCAAAATGAGAATTTTCAAATTGGTTTGCTGTGGAACAGGGAGCTAGTGGAGCTTAGCAAGTACTGGCTCCATGAGACCTAAATGGCCCAGGATCTAGGTTGTGAAATTCTCTGTAAATTGAACTCTGCAGAGATGGGAAGCCAGCGAAGAGAGCATTAAACTGAGGTCTGTCCAGGTTTGTTAAACATCCCCTGATGTTATTTGTAAAGCAGAGGGAATTTCTCCAAAAGTCCTCCATACTAAGTCAATATTTACTTTGTGACTGTTTTGAGGAACCCGTGTTTAATGTTTCATTTGAAGATTGGTTTTCCTGACATTGCAACACTCTCCACTACTAACCCGGAGAGTTAGTCTAGATTAGCTCTTTTAAAAGAGCAGGCACAAACATGATGGGCTGAATGGCCTCCTTCTGTGCTGCATAATTCTATGATTTGAATGCAAACTGCCAACCTTTTGAGCCAAGAAGAGGAAGGCAGCACCTAAGATGACATTAATGATTCAAATAATTTGGACCCAACTGTAACCAAAATGGATGCCTCTGTAGAACTCATAAAAGACCTACTAGATATAGTCCAGTTAGACTCTGTAATTCTTATCTCCACAGACGATTGATCTGTCTCATTCCTTACTGCTCCTACACTCAGAGGCTAAACTGAAATTCAACTAAAGGGGGAATCCCTTGTGCTGAAAGTCTTAACACCTGATGAATTAATCACAGAATTAGTTGCCAGGACAACTCATCAAATCTTCCATGGCCAAAGATCATTTTCAGCTGTAGAATTTTGCCCTTTTCTCTGCCTTCATGCTTTTTAACTTGATCTTGATCGATTTTACAAACACAAGCTTTAGATCCGCTAAATCATCCTTCTACTCCAAAAGAGTCTTGGAGGTGAAGGACAACCCAAGGCTCTTCTCCATCACCAAATGGCTCCTCCGTTCACCCTCTCATGCCTCGCCCATCCTCTCCTCTAATGCCAAATGCGAGGAGATGCTGACTTCCTCGAAACCAAAGTCAAGGGGATCCACTCAGCTGCCTCTGCCCTTCTGACCACTATCTCCACCCCCTCACACCCCAGCCCCCACACCTTTGAACCTGTCTCCCCCGCCTCTCTCAATGCCACCATTACCCACATGAAACCGACCACCTGCTCCCTCGACCTCATCCCTAGCCCTCTCTTTACTTCCCAACTCCACCTCCTTGCCCCATACTCGCAGGCATCATAAACCTCTCTGTCCACTGGCATCATTCCCACCCATCTAAAAATGGCTGTCATCACTCCTAACCTTAAAAAACCCTCCCTGAACCCATCCCTGCTCTCAAATTACTGCCCCAACTCCAACCTTCCTTTCCTTTCCAAGGTCCTGGAACAGGCCGTTGCTTCCCAGCTTCACTTCTTCCTCTCCCTCCACTCCTCCCAATCATGTTGCTATGCTGCCCACAGCACAGAAGCAGCTTTGGTCAAAGTGACAGATGACATTTTGTCCAGCTGCGACCAGGGCTCCCTCTGCCTCCTCGTCCTCTCTGCTGCCTACAATACCGTTGACCACTCTATCCTCCTCCACGGCCTCTCCTCTCACCACAACCTTCATGGTTCTGTCCTTGAATGGTTCAGATCCTACCCCTCACACTATCTCCACTTCATCTCCACAAATAGCTTCTCCTCTAGCCCCTGCACTGTCTCGTGCGGAGGTTCTCAGGGCTTGGTCCTTGGTCCCCTCCTTTTCAATATATGCATGCTCCCTCTTGGTAACATCGTCCACAGACATGGGGTCAACTGCCACATGTATGCGGATGACACCCAACTCTATCTCTCCAGTTCCACCCTCCACTCCAGGACCACTGCTGCCCTGACAGACTGTCTATCAGACATCAAGTCCTGGATGAGAGCTAATTTTCTACAGTTGAATGTTAACAAGACCAAGGCCCTCCTAATTGGCTCCCGTCAGTGCCTACACACCTCAGGTGCTGACAGCATCACCATCCAAGGATGCTCACTCCACCTTACTCAGCCAGTCCGGAACCTTGGCATCTTGTTTGACCCTCAACTATCCTTTCTACCCCACATCCATGTCATACCCCGCTTTGCCATCCTGCACCTCCGCAACATCGCCCGGCTCCACCACTGTCTCACACTGCAGGCCGCCGAGACCCTGATGCAAGCATTCATAACATCCAGGATCGGCTACGCAAACTCCCTGCTTGTCGGCCTACTCCTCCCTCCAAAGGCTGCAGATCATCCAGAACTCTGCAGCCCGTGTCCTCTCCTGCACCAGGCTCCACGACCGACCCCATCTTCGCCCGACTCCACTGGCTTCCCATCACACAGAGAATACAGTTCAAGATCCTGGTCCTCACTTGAAAGCCCTCCATAGCCTTGCTCCCCTCCTACCTCTGTGACCTTCTAACCCCATACCAACCTGCCCACTCCCTCTGTTCAGCGGGCTCCGGCCTGCTTCACGAGCCCCACCTCACTCGCCCCACCATTGGCGGCTGGGCCTTCTGCCACTCTACCCCACCCTCTGGAACTCCATCCCACACTCCTTCCGCCTCAGCCTTTCCCTTGCCTCCTTCAAGACTCGTCTCAAGACCGTCTTCTTCGACTGTGCCTTTGGCCACCCTCCTCCCCCACCCCACTCTCCACTCTCCCAGATCCCGGCCACCAGCTCGCGTCTGAAACACTGACTGTCCAGCGCCTTGGGACATCCGCCCGATGTGAAAG